AATGGCAATCACCTCCTGATTTGAACTTCACCAGATCTGAAAATGAAATCTATTTTTAAACAATCATTAACACATAAATATTAAGTTCCTAAATAAAAGCTCAGCAAACAAAATCTAGCAATGAATAATAAAAAGTATCATATCTCATCAAATCTGACATGCCATTGACTTTAAGTATACTCAACTTGGAGAATAAGTTTAGGCTAGAACTTTGTATGAACAAAGTATGATAACAAATGCATAAAATTGTGCATAAAATAGCACAATGGCAAAAAATACAAAAATTTTAATGATAAACTTGACAAAAGATATTCAAGATCTATGCACTGAAAACCACGAAAACTAAATTGGAGAAATCAGAAAAACTGTTAGAACCAATAAACAAATTCAGGAAAGTTGCAGGATACAAAATCAATACACAAAAATCTGTTGCATTTTTATACATTAATAATGAACCATCAGAAAGAAAAACTAGGGAAACAATCCTATTTTCAATTGTATTGTAAAGAATAAAATACCTAGGAATAAATTTAACCAAGGAAGTGAAAGACCTGTATACCGAAAACTATAAGATATTAATGAAAGAAACTGAAGAAGACACAAATAAATGGAAAGTTATTCGGTGCTAAGAGGTTAGAAGAATCAATATTGTTAAAATGTTCATGCTACCCAAAGTAATCTACAGATTCAATGCAATCCCTTTCAAAATTCCATTTTTCACAGAAATAGAACAAATAATCCTAAAAGTTGGTTGGAACCACAGAAAACCCTGAATAGCTAAAGCAATCCTGAGAAAGAAGAACAAAGCTAGAGGCATCACACTTCCTGATTTCAAGCCATATCACAAAGCTATAGTAATTAAAACAGTATGGTATAAAACAGACACAAAGATTAATGGAACAGAGCAGAGATCCCACAAATAAACCCAAGCATATATAGTCAATTAATTTATGACAAAGAAGCAAAGAATATTCAATGAGGAAAGGACAGTCTCTTCAATAAATAGTACTGGGAAAGCTGCACAGCTACATGCAAAAGAATGAAATTCAACCACTATCTTACACCATACACAAACTTAACCTAAAATGGATTAAAGACTTGAATGTGAGACCTGAAACCATTATACTCCTTGAAGAAAACATAGGCAGTAAACTTGTTACAGATCTCGGTGATGTTTTCCTTCTGATACTAAAAGCAAAAGCAACAAGAGCAAATTAAACAAGTGGAACTACATCAAATTAAAAAGCTTTTGCACAGCAAAGAAAACCATAAAAAAAAAAAATGAAAAGGCAACATACTGAATAGGGGAAGATATCTGTAAATCATGTACCTGGCAAGAGTACATGATTTAACTCAATGAAAAAAAAAATCCAATAAAAAATGGGCAGAGCTCTGAACATTTTTCCAAAGAAGACATAAAGATGGCCAACAGGTACATGGATATGCTATGTGAAATAAGACAGAGAAAGACAAATACCACATGATCTCTCATATGTGGAGTGTTTAAAAACAAAACTAAGCTCATAGATAGAACAAATTGGTGATTGACAGAGGTAGAGAGTGGGGTGTGGGTGGGATGGGAGAAGTGGGTAAAGGGGGTTAAAAGAAAAAAAGAAAAAAAAAGTAAACTGAGGGAGAAGAAATCAACAGGCTAGACAGAAACTCTTACAGAAAATAATTTTTTTTTTCTGGTTTTAGAATTGAGTGCACATATTGGTCCAACTACAGACAAGCAAACCTTAAATGCTTACTGTGAAGTGAAAGAAGCCCGTCTGAAAAGGCCATATACTGTATAATTCCAAATATATGACGTTCTTCAAAAGACAAAAACCATAGAAATACTAAGAAGGCCAGTGTTGCCAGAGGTTAGATTATGGAAGGATGAACAGATGAAGCACAGGAGATTTCATGGTGACGAAACAATTTTTTATAATACTGTAATGGTGGGTACTTGACATTATGCATTTGTCAAAATCCGTAAAACTGTATAACACAGAGTGAACATTAATATTAATGTAAACTATGAACTTTTGTTCATAATAATGTATCAATATTGGTTCATTAATTTTAAGAAATGTATCACACTAATGCATTAATAATAGGGAAAACTATGCTGGGAGTGGGGTGAGAGAGGTGAGGGAAGGAATATGGAAATCTTTTCATGACCTGCTCAATTTTCTAAAAACCTACAACTGTTCTAAAAATAAGAAGTCTTAAGAAAAAAAAAGGGGGGGGGCAATCAGAGTGACTGCAAACTAAAGCCAGTAACAAATCAGTCTATGAACTCCAAAATTATCTTGAAATTTGGGTTAAGTTATACTCTGGACAATGTTGGAATTAGGGTATGTAAAAAAATATATTATTTTTTCATTAACTTATAAAATAAATCTGAGAGGGTTTTGTCAATAAAACAGCATAGTCATACGGTATGGGTTTGAATTTCAGCTTTGTACTTACTACTTGTCAAATTGGTTAACCACTACCCTGAGCTTTAGTTTTGTCATCTGCCAATTGGGAATAATATTGCATCTACCTCACAGGGTTATTATAAAGATTAAATAATGTATACAAAGGGCTTGACAGTTTCTAGTACACTGTCAGTGCTCAATAAATTATTTTACCACCTATAATGATGCAAACTAGGGTCAAAATTTCACTTATCTAAATAAGTATCTAAACAGACTAAATAAATCCTTTGGTTCTTAAAGGCAAAAACCTGTTAAACACTATCCCACTGACATAATCAAAACTTATCTGGCTACTATGAAGCTTCTAAATATACTTTTCTATACTAACTTTAAAAAATTATAAAAAATTTTATACTTTTAGATGACTCATAAGCTCTACTTCAATATTATTGTTTAGTTTAAAAATTCACACATCTCATAAACGTAGTAGACAAAGAACATGGCGTCAGTCTAGATTTGATGAAAAAAATCCAAACTATTCCTCTGAACTTCAATTTCTAGTTCTTTAAAATGAGGAGTTGGTATGAGTGATCTCTAAGACCCTATCCAATTCAAAGATTTTATGTTACTAACAGTTGATTATCCTGGTGATTTTTAAAATTCATTAACTATTATTTATTGACTGGCTTCTAATGTGCACTGAGCAGAAAAATAAAAGAATTCTATTAAAAGAAAAAACTTTTACAAAATTAGATTCAATTGAAAATAAAGTCCTACTGAGGGACTTATTAAAACTGAAATAATTACTGTCAAGAATATAACTTAATTTTTTAAAGTAAATTAAATATATTAAAATACTCACTGTCTAAAACGATATTAAGAAATATTTCTGAGAGCTCTTTATTTTGATTTTTAAATATAAGTATGATAAAATAGGTGAATATTATAAATTTATCATAGCTACAAAATAATCTAATACTTATTGAATGCTTTTATAATTATTATTAGCTGGAATTATTAATAATCACTCTACTATTCTGTGATGTAGGACCTATTATCACCATTTTACAGAAAAAGAAATTGAGGCTCACTGCTCAAGGTTATTAGGTTATCATTTATTGAGCACTTACCATATAGTAAAGTACTATGCTAAAAGTGTTTTACAAGTCATTTTATTTAATTAATCCTTTCAACAACCCTATGATTCAGTTACTTTCTCCAATTTACATATAAGGAAATAAGACTCAGGCAATTAAGCAACTTTACCAAGATTATCCATATATTAAGTGGCCTAGCAAGGACTCAAACTTACCTGTATTGATCCTAAGGCCCATTGTTTATTATTATAATAGGAAGTCTTTCAAGGTAACAAAGCTCCCTCCTTCCTTCATTAGCCATAACTTTGTATCTTTTTTTTTTTTGTATAGGTTAACAAACTAAAGATGCTAAAAAGAAATTCTTTGTTCATTTGCTCTCAACTTTTGGTTGAAATTTAATTAGAGGCCCTCCTACAAGCAATCTAAAGATCTCTGACCTCAGAAGAAAGCTAGAGCTCTCACTATGCAGGCATTGCCCACAGAGAAAACATTCTGTAAATAAATTCAAAAGTAGAGCTTGTGGAAGGAGGTAAAAACTGCAAATAGCTTAGAAGAAAGAATTCCAAAAACTTACCCTTAGCTTCTTAAGGTGCCCTGACCTCATTACAAATTATCCCTCCTGGCCTAAAATATTTATTTTACTTACTTTCTCTTACCCTATCTGAAATTTCATCAATGAAATTTTTATTGAAGTATTTTCTCTCAAAAAGAAATCTGGAGAGAATATCAGTCATTAACAAATTTGTGTGACTTTATATAAGGATAGCTTACTTCCTTTAAGATACATTTTAAAAAGCTACCCTGAAGTTTAATTTAGAGGTGGGAAAGCAGGTACATGAGGCTCAGAGCACTTAAAAGGGGATTCAGCAGTCCTGACTGAGCTAGATGCTGCAGTGAAGACAGAGGCCAGGATGAATACCCTAGAGAAGTGCACTAGTGAAGGGGGGGGGTATGATGTTAAACTAGGAAGATTGCCAAACATAAACCACCTGCTTCAGAACTTTGCCCAAACTGGAATTTTGCCAATGGAAAAAAGATAACTTTTCTGTCTTCTGGGAACTCAAAACTCAAAATTTCCCTTTCAGTATGTACTGCAACTATACCATCGGTTAAGCAAGCTTTTTGTGATTACACTGGGAAAATACTACTAGTTTCTACATGAAAAAGTGGGTTTCAATATCTAGTGACCTAACCCATTGCTGAATTGGAGAGTAAAAGTACATTTTAAGTTACAGACACCCTTTAAGAAAATAATTTGAATGCAGTGAAAAGTATGACTCCTTCCTTCACTAATTCTATCAATTTGCATAACCCTTTTATTATATCAATGTAAAGTTGTTAAGAATGAAGATAATATTAAATAGCTAGATATAAATGTTGTAACAGAACAAAGTACCTATATACAAAGTGTAGTTTGATTTTTTTCCTTAATTTGTAATGGACAATAGTTAACTTTTATAGAGCTCTTAATGTCAATTAAAAATAAAATTATTACCTTCAGACAGTAGCTCAAGTTTAAATTCCAGGCCTCAAGCATTCTACAACCCCCCAAAATGCCCTCTCTTGTCCACTGAAGTTCTTCCTTTTTGGAGCACTAAATCATGATAGTTGTAGCTTCATTTATGTGAAAGCTATAATTATGTCTTCATAGCAGCATTTTTTCTGTAATGAGAAGGTATTCAACATATATTTTATTTTCCTACACATAAAGAAAAATACTAGATTTTTGTTATGCAGATTTTATTATAAAATAGCCATTACCAGCCTGGTATAGTGGAACCATCAGTTGACTTAACTGAAAACTAAAACTAGGACTGACTGTAGATAATTTTGTTCTGTGATAGGTGACTTAACCTCTTTCTCTATATAAAATTTGACATTTGGACTAGGATTTTGTATCAACTCTCACTTTTTAGAACTACTACTGAAACAAAGACTTCTGCAGCAAATTACATTTTTCTCCACAATGAAAATATTTACTAATATGGCATCTTTTGGAGTCATGGAAGCTAAATACTCTACTCCTTATAAAAGTCCTGGAATTGATCTGACAACCTTATTTCTTAAGCAAGTAGTATTGGGATTAGATAAAAAGAACAGTTAACGATTAGACTTCAGAATATACACTAAGGCATTAAATTTTGCCGGCAAATTGCTTTCTAGAACGTTTCATATTACATTAAAAAGTGGATTTTACCTTATAACAAAAGCAACGATTAGGAAGAAAGTGTTAAATTAGAAGTTCAATGTTTTTTATTTATTGGGAAAATGAGTTTTTAATACATAGTAAATACATGGCAGAGGGGAAGAAACTATTCAGGCTGTAGTCACCCATATCTCTGTAGGACATACTTGGGCCACTGCTGTTTTGATTTTGTTCAACAGCATTTCTATTCGTTCAAAATTTTAGAGGCAATTCTCAGCTGCAATTTCTAAAAACCTGTCTTAACACCTGATAATTTTGTTTCCTCCTATAGACTTTTCTGTAGTAAAATTTATCCATTAAAACCAATAGTCTGAGAATTAAGCCCCAAACAGAACTAAAGGATGAAGCCACCTGAGGTTTAGTCCTAGAGTTTCTCTTAATTTTATGTACCTTGGTTAGTGTCTCAAGATTTAAAGAATCTTGAAATCTATTTAGTATCAGTGTCAGATATTATTAACTACATTAAAAAATATTGCTCAAAAGTACTTTAGAAAATAAAATTTCTCTCATTTTTTTAGGGTAGGTAAATACCATAATGTACCTTTTATGATGTACACAAAATTGATATGAATCAGTGGTATCAAAATTAAATCAAGACTCCTAATTCACAAATATTTTATAGAATAATTTATTTTTTAAAGATGGGTTTTGAAAGTTATAGCATGTTAAATAAACATCAAAATTTTAAATGTATGTATTTATGTGTATAAACAATAGCATTTTAACTTTTCACTTTTCAGTGAAAAAAATTTAAGGCTAATATTCACAATGTCTCTTTTATCTAAGGTTTGTCCTCCCTATAAATGTCTCTGTAGTCTTGGTTTCTACTCATTTCTTACCCTGCATATACATACCTCTTTTCCCCTCTTTGCTCTTTGAGAACTTTACAAGTTACTTCATGTAATCCTCACAATGACTCTGAGGTAGATCTTAATATCTCTACAGATAAGAAAACCAAAGCTGTCAAGTACCTTGCTTAATGTCACAGAGTATTAGAGCTCAGATTCAAAACTAAGCAGGGGGGAAGAAAAAAAACCCCAGAACAATTAGGATTCCAAAGCCTATGAACAGTTTTTATATCATACAACGCCATGCCATTATATACAGAAAAAAAGAAACCTATAATAAAGAGAAATATATTTCCCAAGCTGTGGTTCTCCAGGGAACAAGTGTGTCTTCTTGAGGACCACAGTAAATAAATTATGTAGGAAATTATTAAGAATCAAAAGCTTGCAGTTAATATTCTAAGTAAGCTTAAGAAAAATAAAAGCACTAACTACCCTAGGTATTGCACGGATACAACACCAAATATAAGACATGTCACTGCTAAAAAAATACCAAAGTCATCATACTAAGTGTTTAGTTATTTTGGAACACTTAACTAAGTTTCAGTCACATGAAAAATGTATTTTTAGTGATTTCAATATTTCTTCATTGTCAATTGAAGTTTTATCTTATTAAGCATTCAGGTTCTTTTATCTTACTGATCATATTTTTCAATTCGATTTAAGATCAACCTACATTGACTCTTGTCAGGTACTATATTTTCATAAATTTCAAATTAATGATAGTTTAAGATGTATTAATCTACAATTATATATTTTAAAGATATTTAAACCAATGAGATATTATCAATAATAAAAAATTATCTGAAAAATAACCTAATTAATTGAAGATTTCAGGTTCAATAAAATTTAATTCAGGTAATTTTTCTGTTGTTTTAAGTCAAAAATCACTTATGGTTAAAGAAGAATGATGTTTAAAACTACCACATTTCTTTCCACTTCTACCGAACTCAGAAAACATGGATTCAATAGGGAAACTTCAATTAAGAAATTGTTTCAAGTTTCAGGTGGTCTAACTTATTCAACAAATGCAATTCTCACCATTACAATGAGTCACATAATTAAATGACAACCGCTTTTATTTACCAGCACAGAGGTTTTTTAATTTTATTCCTCTAATCAAGAGGCTATTATTCTCCCTTATCTGTAGCCGTTAGCAAAGCTAGTTAAATTGATATCTAAATGAGAATGATGGTAATAACAACATTTATTATGTGGCATTTAATCCTCACAGATAACCAAAACGTGGCACAGTGCTGGTTAATAAATAAGTAGCTAAGGCCAGATTGGAACCCAGGCATTTGGGTTTCAGGACCTGCATTCTAAAAAGGTGAGAAAATTGAAAATAGTCCTAGTTTCATTGTCACTGCTCTCTAATAAAAGACTGTTTTTCGCTTACAATTGTTTAAATCACTTCTCATATTCTACGGTTGATTGAAGTACTTCTTTAAGCAGCTTGTCAAAAAAAAAAAAAAAAAAAAGGAAAGCTTTAGCTGTCTTCACCTGCACACATATCGCTCTACCCACAAACTGCAATACACTTCTGCCTGATTCTAAACTGCTGCTTCTTGAAGTCCCCCTCTTGGTGCTTTTCTGGCGAACGCCTTAAAAAGTGACTTTGACAACTAGATAATCTCTCTCCACCCATCCTCCCTCAGAAAAACAATTAAATTCAATTAGAATAATTTTCGGGCACTGAGAATAAGACATAGGCCTTTGGATACCCTGAAGACCAAAAAAAGAAAAAAAAAAAAAATCAAAAACCAGAGGTGTGGGAGGACGCTTTTCCCCTCCTAAACTTAAGACATAAAAGGGCATATAAAGAGGAAAAAATAAAAAGCGGGCCGTGGGGCAGCGCGAAGGACCACACTTTGGGCGCTCTCGCCCAAGGGGTCCGGGTCCTTCTCCGCGGTGGTGGCGCGTTCTCGTACTCAGCAACCCTCCTCAGGATTCCCAACCTCCACCTTCTCCAGCCTGCCTCCCCGGGGCCCGCCAACCCTGTCCCGGGCGGGGGGTAGTGGGCCTCGCCAAGGAGGGTCCTGAAGAAGACCCCTGGCAGGGCGCGGAAGGCGCCAGCAGGACCCGGCTGCGGTGAGGGGCGGGGGCCCGCAATCGCTCGGGGACCTGGCGGGTCAGGAGGTGATGGGAGGAGGCAGGGGGAAGAAAGGGGGGTTGGGAAGTAGCGTCCGGTCCGTCGGCGCAGACAGCTCTGCCAAACCTCCGACTCCCCCAGTCCTGCCACCGCCGAGAGCCCTACAGGGCAAGGAGGGTAGTCCACAAAGTGCTGGAGCAGAGGGGAGAAAATTCAAAACGAGTCTACTCAACCTCGTCTTGGCTCCGAGGCCCCGCCATGGAGACCAGCACAATGCGCAGGCGCACTCCCTCCGAGAGCGCGCAGCACGGTACCATGAGATAGGACCACTATCGGCCACCATCGTTAGTTCTCTTTCTGATTCGTTTTTTTTTTTTTTCTTCTTCTTCTTTTTTTGTAGTCCCTCTTCCCGTCTGGATTTTACTGCCTGAAGCTAGAGACGAGAGGCCATGAAAAATCTCAGTAGAGTGAGGTTCTGATTGGGAATATGCGTGGGAAAATAAACCCAGAACCGCTTAGTAAATTAAAGCTGAAGACAGAGGAAATATAAATATCTGGCTGGAGTCCGGAAGGTTAACGCAAGTAAGATATTCTGAGGGCAGCGTGGCAAAAAAGGACTACAATTCCCAGTGGTTACAGCGTCTGAGAAGCGCTGCTGTCTGGGGGTTGTAGTACCTAGGCACTGTGTTGAAGTATTGGGGCTAAAGACAGCATCTTGAATTTAAAAAAGGGAGAGAGAAGCAGATTTGAATTGGTCCTTTCTGTGTCTTCCTATTCGATCACAGGCCTAAATATACTAAAGGAAATCCAAAAAGATTAAAGGGATACGCCGTCTTTAAGACTATGCTTTGCTAATCGATGATTCCTAAAATCTAGGAATAGGTAGTTGATGTTTGTGGGCTGGGCCTCCGTAGAAGGGCAGCCTCGTGGTCTCTTGCTTAGGAGGCCCGAGGAAAGAAAGCGGAATCCCAGTCTTGGACTGCAGCTTCTGCTTACCTGCGCAGTGTAATTTTGAGCTGCCGTTTTTTGTAGACCTAAGGGACAAGAGCGCCCGTTGTATGGTAACATACGTTTTCGTCGGCAGGTCTTGTGTGTACTCCCCGCCATGGCTCAGCTCCAGACACGCTTCTTCACTGACAACAAGAAGTAAGTAAGCGTGTTCCCCTTTTTTCCTCTCCCCTGCCTGGGATCCTCGGTTGTCATTGCCGTATTCACTTTCGCCACCACCATCACCCACTTTTTTTTTCCTGGACTCTCCGTTTGGCGTGTTTTCCGCTCAAGAGGAAGTGGTACCTTGCGAGGATTTCTCAGAGACCCGTTATTGCCTCCTTTCTGCCTAGCTTCTCAGGCTCTGTATAATTTGAATTGTAACTGTAGAAGGGCCTGAAAGGGTTTAGGCTTGTTTCCTAAATGAATTACATTGTATAATTAATGAACAATGGATCAAGTCGTTAAAGGCTGTGCGTTAATGGTGTTTCACAAGTTTTTGAAAACACTTCATTTTTTTGAGTAGGTGATAGACGATGCTTTCCTAAACCAGGTTAGGAAATGGACCTTTAAAGAGGGGCTTAGTAGAACTGGTTTTCGATAAGTGTGAAAAGTCAATTCAGTTACAGATTTGTGTATTCAGTTACGTGTGTGTGTGTGTGTATACACATATATACACATCTCTGTGTACGTATACATATATGTATGTATAAACATTTTACCAATAGTCCCCAGGTCTATAGCATTCATTTGAAACGTAATTATGTTCTGCCTTGTGGTGCGTTTGTAGCTTTATGAATTGACCTGGTAAATCATATTCACTTCTCTTGTGTTGTTGCTTGAAGTACACATAAATCATATTATAAATAAGTTAAAAATTAGTCTAAATACTTCTTAAGAAATGTGATGCAATAGCATAGCCACTGTTTTTTCCAAGCGAAATTTTTATTGAGATTATTGTTGATGCACGTGAATTCTTAAGAAATAATATACCACTGCATTTTAACCCATGAAATAAACCAACGCCATGTATATGTAGATGTGTGTATATACTTTTAGATTCTCCAAAAATATGTATATGTTCTGGTCAATAAAATGAGGAAGTAAAATAGTTTTATTCATGTATATGTATATTATTTACATATATATTCATAAGTGTGCATGTGAATTAGGCTACTTCTCCCCAACCCCTCATTTTACTGACCCAAATGGTAAATGAAAGAATGAAAATTTTTAGTTTCTAGATTTTTTTACCTTTTGGAGAACCGAAATAACTGCTTACTTTTTTTGGCATGATAAATATATAACTATAGTCTTACTACTCAAATTGTAGTTTGAGAACCAGCAGCAACAGCAGAACTTGGGAGCTTGTTAGAAAAAGCAGATTCTCAGACTCCACCCCAGACCTCCTTTTTTAGAATCTACATTTTGACAAGATCTGAAGCCCCTCCCCCAAAGACTCCCGTTGTGGCAAAAAGAGACCTATTTGAACATGTGTTTCTGTCTGTCTTTCTGTCTTCTTTCTCTCTTCCTTCCTTTCTCTCTCTCTCTCTCTCTCTCTCTCTCTCTCTTTCTTTCTCTCTCTCTCTCTCCTTTCTTTCTTTCTTGTAACAACTTTGAAATATAATTCACATACAATTGAATTCACAAGTTTAAAGTGTCCATTTCAGTGGTTTTGAATATATTTGCAGAATTACGCAGACATCACTACCTTTAATTTTAGAACATTTTTCATTACCTTTTAGCTGTTAACACTCAGGCCTTCTGGTCCCCCAGCCCTAGGCAACCGCTAATCTACTTTCTGTGTCTATAGATTTGTCTGTTCTGAATATTTCATATAAGTGGAATTGTATAACGTGATCTTTGTAAATGGCTTTAGGCATCATCCATGGATATACTACATTTTGTTTCCATTGTTCAGTTGATGGACATTTGGGTTGTTTCCACATTTTGGCTATTATGAATAGTGATGATACGAACATTTGTATATGTGTTTTTGTGTGTACATATATTTTCATTTCTCTTGGGTAAATACTTAGCTTTGGAGTTGCTGGGTCAAATGGTAATTCAATATTTTAACTTTTTAAGGAATTACCAAATGTTTCCAAAGCAACAGCGCCATTTTACATTTCCCACCAACAATGAATAATGGTTTAATTTCTCCACATTCTTCAGCAATACTTATTATCTGTCTTTTCTTTGTTCGTTGTTTAAAGCAAAATTACACCTTCTAGACTAGGCTGAGTGGGCAGTTTAATTAACTCTTAGCTATTGTTTTTGCTTCACTCCCTGCTTTCCTGCACCTCTTCCTCTTGTCTACCCCTCTTTCACGTGACAAAAGCTCGTTTTTCTATATGTAGCTTAAGAGTGATCTTTTTTTATGCTTACTTTCAGACCTTGCTCTCTCATCCTTTTCTCTAATTGAATTGACCTATGGCTTCTTTGTTCTCTTATTTTATGTATTACTTATGACATAGTTTCATTGGATTTGATTATCAGACTTTAACTCTTTCTGAGAATAGAGACCACTTTAAATTCCTTTTTGTTAACCCCATGTAGCAAAATGTCTGGCATGTATTAGATAACCAGTAAATGTTTGTTGAATGAATAAATTCACAGTCATTAAAATATCTGTAGACTTGATCTTGACTTTTCATTTCTCTTTTATAGATATGCAGTAGATGATGTTCCCTTCTCAATCCCTGCAGCCTCTGAAATTGCTGACCTTAGTAACATCATCAATAAATTGCTGGAGGCCAAAAATGGTGCGTATATATGTTCTGAAAAGTTAGGAGAGGGCACAGTACCGCTATCTACACTAAAATACATCACATTTTAATTTTATTTCCTTTTTTTTTGGCCTTGTTTTATAATAACTGCATGTATTTTATAATGGAAAACTTTATAAATTATAACATGGGTTTGCCTGCTACAGTTCTTAATACTTTGAAAAATAATTTGAAATAAAAGAGTTTAGGAAAAAATATTTCAGTTTAATCTGTTTTTAAGACAACATGGAGATAAGGTGGTTGGGATTTAGGAATAAAGATTTTAGTTTAATAGTTGTAATGTTGAGATAATTAATACATTGTGCTAAAGAGGGCTGAGTTGGGTAGACGTAGAACAAGCATCTTGGTGCTTGGGCTCCACTCGCTGTACTTCTACAAAGCAAATGGTATTATCAGCATGTGAGTATTTATGTTGTGTAATAACATGTCAACATAAATACTGGTATTTTATAAATATTTAGAATTTATTAGAAAACTAGATAAATTTTCTAATGGATAAACATTAACATGTAAGAATATGAAGTAAAACATTTATAAAGATATGAATATTAAACACATACTGTGCGAATATAACTTATTAGCCCTAAAGTTAATATGAATAATGTATGGAAAATTTTTGATTAAACAAGATTGGCCATAAATTGATCATTGGAGTTGGGTTATAGGTATATGAAGGTTTATTATAAGATTTATTCTATATTTTTTTAAAAAAGTAAAACTATACATAAAATAGAAGATTTCAACATGAAAAATTGAAAACATAAAGTGTGATTTTTAAAAACAAAATATGTCAAAGGAGACACTATTTAGAAGCAAGCATATTTTTGGGCAGGTATTTCTAATGCTTCAAAGCTCTTTTGATTCTACACAATTTGGAAGAATAGGGAGGTGAGATTTATAAGCTAATGCCTAATATTTTCTTCTTCATCTTCAAATAATCCCATAAGTTTTTTGTTAAGGTTGAGATGATGTTTTTGAGCAACTATTTTTGGGGAGACAGAGTCTGCAGTCTTCATTGCTAGCAAGTTGTAATTCTTGATTCAGCAATATTGTTAGGCATTTCCTATCGGTTTTTGTCTTTACTGTCATCAGTATATAGAAATTCTGATGAATAATTACTTTTCTAAATGTCAAAAATGTCATATATTCTACCTATTGAAAAACTCTGAACGAGAATAAGAATTCTTGCAATAGAAGCTTTGCAATACCGGTATATGGTTGTTTGTTGTTACCCAAATAGTTGTATATTTTCTAAACTTGTAGATGAACATTGGTTTGTCTTTTTGTATAAATTGAATAACTGAGTCAGTCATTGCTCTTGAGTTGAAGATGCAATTTCAGATTTCAGAGTTTTCCAAAGTAACAACCCAAATAATCAGTGAGGTAACTCTTCTTTTAAAAGGATTATGTTTAATAAATGCACAAAGAATGAAGAATTTTTAACATATTGTAACTCCAAATGAAATAATGGATTTAAGTCATGAT